GTCCAATAATTTGGTGTCGAATCGATCGGTGTCGAATCGTACTGTGGTCAAACGGAACACGCCCGTCTCCATACGTTTGAAAGCCATGGGAAAGATCCAGAAGATAGGAAAATGGGTTCCACATGAACTGAATGAAAGACAGCAGGAAAACCGGAAAACCACTTGCAAAATGCTGCTTGCCAGGTACAGAAGAAAGTCATTTCTCCATCAAATTGTGACTGGCGATAAAAAGTGGATATATTTTGAGAATCCTAAGCGTAAAAGATCATGGGTAACTCCAGGCAAAGCAGCGACATCGACTGCAAGGCCAAATCGCTATGGACGGAATACAATGCTCTGTGTTTGGTGGGATCAGAAAGGTGTGATCTATTATGAGCTGCTAAAACCTGGCGAAACCGTTAACACTGAACGCTACCGTCACCAAATGATCAATTTGAATCGAGCTTTGTGTCAAAAACGACCGGAATATCAAAACAGGCAACACAAAGTGATTTTGCTTCATGATAATGCACCATCACACACAGCAAAACCGGTCAAGAAAACGATTGAGACGTTTGGTTGGGAAATACTTTCGCATGCGGCTTACTCACCAGACTTGGCTCCGTCCGATTATCACCTGTTTGCATCGATGGGACACGCACTTGCTCAGCAGCACTTCACTTCTTACGAAGATGTGCGAAAATGGCTAGATGGCTGGTTTAGCTCAAAAGAACAACAATTTTTTTGGCGTGGTATCCACAAATTGTCAAACTGGTAAGAAAAATGTATAGCTAGCGATGGGCAATACTTTGAATAAAATATTCTTTATCATTTTTATGCAATAAACGTGTATTTTCTATAAAAAAATTCCGGTTTCATATTTACACACCTGGTAAAAATCGCCGCGACGTAAAAACTTGATGTAAAGAAATCACTGTCATAAAGGTAACTGAACAGCTGATAAGCAGAAGCTTGGCATGAGTGTCCGTAACAGTGCTGCCAACGTGACACAAACAACAGAATTCTAGACCGATAAGCCCGCGAGGTTTAAATTAAAAATTCCGGTTATTTTTTTATCATGGTAGTATCTTGAATCCAGCCCTACTACGAGGAAGTGGACCCATTATATCGGCAGCCACAACTATCCAGGAGCTACCGGTAATCCAATGTCCCATCAAGCCGACAGGACTGGTTTGCTCTACTTTAACCTGTTGACATGTTAAACAGGATTTTACGTATGTAGCCACCTCTCTGAACATATTTGGCCAATAATAGTTCACGAGTAGGCGCTGATAAGTCTTTTCTACTCCTAAGTGAACAGCCTGAAGGTCTTCGTGAGCTTCGATCATGGCTTCTCTGCGTAATTCTTTCGGCAACACTATTTTTCATCTATCTAAATTTTCGACAACATCAGAAACGACAGGTAGAGGTCGCAAATAATATAAATGACTATCCACTATTTTTCCAATCCGTGAAACGTTTGATACGTTTCCTAACCTCCTGAAATCGTTTAGGATACCATGCATCGGTGGCATTCCTCGATCCTTTTTCAACATTATTTTCGGCATCACTACCCTCGACAGACTTAGAATCAGTTGCACTATCATTAATATCCTCAACAACGGCAGAAACTAAAGGAATATCATTCTCTCTCTTATACATGCGTGACAGAGCATCAGGCACGTGATGTAAGGCGCCTTTACGATGAACTATCTCGTAGTCATACTCGAGTAATTTCAGGGCTTATCTCGCCAATTGACCAGTTGGATTTTTCAATCTATAAAGCCAGCGCAAGCTGCTATGATCAGTGATGATAGTGAATTTATATCCCTCTAGGTAGGGTTTGAATTTTTATATGGCCCACACAACGGCAAGACACTCCTGCTCCGTCACTGAATATTTCTTTTTGGCATCACTAAGAGAACAACTAGCAAACGCGATAATCTGTTCCGTATTTCCTACATTCTGCGTCAAAACGGCATCTAATCCAACTGAACTTGCGTCAGTCTGCAATACAAACTGCAACAAAAAATCAGGACAAGATAAAGTCAGCGCAGCCATTAAATATTCTTTAATTTTATTAAAGGCTCGCTCTTGATCATCCCCCCATCGCAACGGTTGATTTTTACGCAACAGTCGAGTAAACGGCTCGGTCACAGTGGCAAACTGCGGTATAAAACGGCGATACCAAGATGCCATGCCAAAAAAACGTTGCTACTGTTTGATTGTTCGAAAGGCTAGATATTCTAAAATCGGGCGTACTTTTTCGGGATCAATTGTGAGACCTTTTTTCTGTACCACAAAACCTAGATAACGGATTTGTGATTTGCAAAACTCGCATTTTTCCGGATTAACGGTGAGTCCAGCGGCAGCAATTTTTCCTAATACCCTCTCTAACCATTGGAGATGTTCCTCGAATGTGGCCGTTACTACCACAATGTCGTCTAAGTATGCGAACGCATGAGGTTCCATCTCGGGACCAATCAACTTATCCAATAAACGTTGGAAAGTTGGCAAGTCCGTACGCCATTGGCGTGAAGTGGTACAAGCCTTTTCCGGGTACGCTAAAGACGGTAATTTTACGGCTTTACTTGGCCAGAGAAATTTGGAAATATGGTTGGCTCAGGTCAAACGTTAAGATATAACGCGCGACTCTCAATTTATCTAAAATGCCGTTTATATTCGGCGACGGATAAGCATTCTTTTTTGAAACGCTATTAATTTTTCGGAAATCTAGGCAAAAGCGATATTTACCGTTTGGCTTTTTCACCATGACTATTGAATTTGACCATTCGCTAAATGATGGATCAATAATTCCGGCATGCAACATTTTATCCACCTTATCCCGAATCACCTCTTGTACTTTAGGTGACACAAGATAACACCTTTGTTTGATAGGCGGATGGTTATTCACGTCTATAAGGTGTCTGGTAAGATTCGTCACCCCCGGATTATCTACAGTGGCCGGCAAATTTTGGTTCGAAAATTTGTTTAACCGATTTTCATCCGATGATGTTAATTCCGACATTCCGCTACACACTTTATCTGATATAGCAACAGACTCAAACGAGTAATTTTCCTTATTATTGCGCGCAAATGTCCATGACGCTGAGCCAAAGTCCAAGACTATTCCGAATTTACTCAGAAAATCAACCTCTAGGATGCATGACACAGCTAAACCCGGTAACAAACATACAGAAAGAACCCGTTTTCTATTCTTTAATGTCATAGACACGTTCACTCTCTCTCTTTTATATCAGTTGTCTATTCGCCGTTTTAAGTCGGCATCCTCGAGCTCGTTTAATTGGCAGTTCTAATTTCTTTACAATGGAAATGCTTTCTTTATCAAAAATAGTCCTACTGGATCCTGAATCCACTAAAGCCGCCAAGGTATAATTCTGTATTCAAATAGAAAAATAATGTAAAGACGATAACGCAGTACAATCGAACGTGACATACAAACTATCACCATCAAACTCAAAAAACAATTTAGAAGTTTTCGGCTTCCTAGTAACAATGCTATTTTCGACAACTAAATTTTTTTTACGCGAGCCTCACGAGTGTGCGAAGGAGTTGCAGAGACTTGTTCTACGTATTCCCTTCCCCGTTTTCCGAACACATCGAACAACTGTTCACGGTCACGTAGGGTTTGCCGCACCGACAGCAGTGCGTCTTCCTAGCTTCTTTGCATTCTCGCGATACATGTCCCGATTTCCCGCAATTCCAACACTTTACGCCGGGACGGTCGGTTGTTTCTGACTTTTCCGCGCCATTGTCTTTCTTTTTGGAAGAAACGGCAAGGGAGCTTCTCTTGCTCTTGCCCCCCTTCTTTTTATTGTTCTCGGCGCTTACGGCAGCAAACGACTCGCTGTTTCGGGTTTTTCTCGGCAGTTTATACGCTAATTCCAAAAGAAGGGATTTTTCCGGTGGCGGGAGAACTACTTTTTGGCCAAATTTAATCTACTCTCCGTACGCATCGCCAGCCGCTCCAAAGACTCGAAGTCGTAAAATTCGTTGCGGTTTATCGTGCGTTGAATTCGCGGCAGCAAATTACGATAGGCATAATTAAGTTGTTCGGAAAGAAGCCAGGATGTGTTCATCCGATCGCAAATGACCTGTATGTTTGTTAGATACGCGGAGACCGACTCGTGTTTGCCCTGCGTGCGTCAGCGTATTTCGTCACTCAGCGTAAAATCAAAATTGGAATCACCAAATCGAAGCTGAAGTACTTAAAAAAATCTATATCTTCACGTCACATGTGCTATAGATTGTGAGTACTGGCAGTAAATATCGGAACGCAGCCTAAGTCTCGAAAAGCGTTGTCATACGTAACAAGCGCGCAACGTGCGTTGCCTTGTGGCCGGCTTGGTAGAAAGGAGACAGACAATAATAATAAATAATAATGCCTGCAATCTTCCACAGCCGAGCGTGACGTCACACACACGTACGCGGTTCTCGCTTGTGTGCGTAACATCGAGGAGCTGAGCGGTGAGGGCTCTGCCCCTCGATGCTCTCGTTGCTGTCCTGCACGATCTGGTATCTATGCTCTAGACCCTCGCGTCTACTCCGCAAATTTTTGACGCGTTGTGTACACAGCGCGTCATTAAATCGTGGAATAAACGCGGGATCGGAAGGCAATCGGGGCGGTTGTTTGCCAACAAGCGCCGTACGAATCGTACGGTCTGCTTGTCCTTCGATCTCCGCGCCTATTCCGCGATTCAATGACGCGCTGTGTACGATTCCGTAGACATTTTAATTAATTTTTCTTAATACGGCAAGAAAAGAAAAATCTAGGGTAATTATTGAGTATAGAGGATTAAGGTCCGATGACTCTGATTTTGATATATGTTGTAAAGGGCACTCTCCTGAGAAGTGTTCCAAAGGTTTTAGGTGGCGCTCGTTTTTTATTAAAAAAATATTCCTAAAAAATATAATTAGAAAAATTCGAAGGATAAGAAAGTGAACGCGGAGGAAAGATTATTGTTGGAGAGGATTGAGGAACTGGGATGGGTAATATGGGACGGGAACACAAAAGGAGGCAAGGAGGGGAAATAGACATACACGGTTGGAAGATGGGAATCAGTGATTGACTATGTGTTAGGGGAAATAAGCACGAAGGAATATGTGGAGAAAATGGAAATAAGGGATCAAGTGGATTCGGATCACCATCCGGTGGTGATCTGGATCAAAAGTAGAAAAAGAGTGAGGACTGGGAACAGGGAAGGGGATAGAGGGAAGGATGGAATAAAAAAGAGAATATGGTCGGAGGAAGGAAAAAGAAAATGGATGGAGGAGATGCAGAAGGAGATGAGGGATGAGAAAAGGGGGGTTGAAGAGGAATGGGAGATTATGAAAAAAAAAATAAGAACGGTGTTAGGAGAAAGGGAGGTAAAGAAAGTAGGGAATTGGAGAAGGGGGTGGTAGGATAAAGAGTGTAAGGAGGCAAAGAGGAATGTAAGAAGGAAGTTAAAAAGGTGAAGAGAGGGAAGAGGGTGTAAAGAGGAGTATAAGAAAAGAAAAAAGAATACAAGGCGTTGTGTAATAAGAAAAGGGAGAAAGAAAACAGAGCTTGGGAGGAGGTGGTAAAAAAAGCGAAAACGATAGGGCAGGTGTGGGAAGTGGTGAATAGAGAGAGAAGAAGAAAGAGAGGAGGGAGTAGTGGGATTGAGATAAGAGAGTGGGAGGATTATTTCAAGAAGCAGTTGGGGGGTGGACTGGAACGTGGTGAGAGGGGAAAGGAAAAAGAGGGAGGAGGGGGAGGCGGATATAGGAAGGAAGGAAATTATAAGGGCGATTGGAAAATTGAGGGTAGGGAAAGCGCCAGGGGGAATGGTATACCTGCAGAAATATGGAAGTTTGGAGGAAGAAATATGCAGGACTGGGTGTGAAATACACAGTTTGTCCGGAAAGTTCCCGGACTGATTTTTTCTAGCGCGGGTAAGCGGCGCTATCGAGCGGTCAACGCTGGAACTACTTAGTATAGA